GCGTCAGTGGAAGCGGTAGAACAGGGTTTTCGCTGCAAACGTTCAGCAGCGTCTTCAGTGTGCAGAGAGAGAGGAGGGCCTCTGTAGAGCCATGTGCGTATTCTCCCAGCAGGTCCCTCAGTCCCTCCCTGCTTCCGCCTGGCCTCACCTGCTCGGCCTTCTGGTGGAACACGGCGGACATGGCGAGGATGGTGCTGCGCTCGTCCAGGGCCGCGGCGAAGCTCTTCCACTCCTGGTCCAGCTGCGTGGAGATCTGCTTGATCTGCTGTGAGGCATAGTGGCCAGCCTCCGAGAGGCGGGAGGCCACCGACATGATGCGGTTGATGTTAACGTAGGCATTCTGGGAAGCAAGGAGAGACAGCGCTTAGTGGGGCAGGCGGAAAGGGCGTGTGTTAAGCACGGTGAGGCCAAAGAGAGTATTTGGAGCAGGAGGCTGCCCCCACACGAAACATTTGGGAGAAGCTGATGTAGACCAAGTGTTTATAGTCTTGGACTAAGGGGTGTCTTCCTCTAAGACATAAGAGCTAGGCAGACAGGGGGACAGTAGTGGCAGCCTTTGATCCTGGGGGTCTGGGATTGTTCCTGTGCTGTCAGTGCACAGGCCGGCAATGTGCGTGGTCTGATCTAATGCTCAGTATCATCCCATGAGGTCAACCCAAGGTGGCAGTGCTGTCAAGAGTTGCAGCCTGGCAGCAACGGTGCCTACTACGGCCAATGCTAAAGAAGACGAGTGCACGCCTCTCAGTGAGGAAAGAGCCGCCCAGGGCACATCGCTAGATCGGTGGGGGATTCTCGCCGAGTTCCATTCGCAGCCCATGCCCTTCATGCACAGCCACCACCCGTGTCGCCAGAGGCTTGCTCTTTGAAGCCAACGATGAACAGGCTTTAGTGGGGCTTTTGGATGGAAACCAACCAGGAAGAAAGGCTTGGTGAAATTCTTTCAAAAACCATGTCTTGGAAAATGCTGTGGATCACAAGGGCTCCATTCACAGGCGAGATGGGGATGGTGCAGGACCGGCCAGCTTCTGTTTGGATTTGTGGGGGGTGGCCACGAGTCCCGGGCCAACTAGATGGCAGCCTACAGCAACCACAACAGGGCGGTGATGCTGGCTCCAGAGTGCAGAGGACACTCTGGGAAGACGTGGCCCACAGCTCTGTGTCCCCCAAAGACCTGGGACCCCCTTGGTTTTCAGTTGGGGGAGACGTGAAAAGCAGTGAAAACCACAGCAGTTCTTCAGGCTAAGATGTTTCTGTTCAGGGTGATGGAAACTTTGGAACTAGATCACTGTGAAGGCTGCGCACATTGCAGACACCATGCCACAGAACTGTACTCTGAAAATATCTACGCTGCAAAAGACTGAAGCCTACGGAACCCTTTCCTATTGCTCTGCTTCATTAACAAGAGTCATATGTGGGTGCTTCAGAGGCCCGGGGTGGGGGTGCAAGTGGGGGGCTCCTGGCAACTCCCCTCATCTTGTGTTTTGTTCACATGCCTACCCATCTCTGCTTGCCAATTACAAAGCCTGGGACAATGGTATTTTTTCCTACTGGGCCAGCAGCAAACCCTCCAGGAAGGCACAAGACAAAAGAAAAACCCCACAGATACAAGCACAGGAGTGATGGCAGTTATTTTTAACTGCCACCTCCTATTAATTGTCGGAGGTGCCAAAACAATCATGTAATACTGTGGCACCCACACTGTGCTTCTGTGGATCACAGAAACATAGGCCCCCAGAAGGGTGGGTGGCGGCAGGCTGCTCGCAGCCCTTCCTTCTTTGTTTCAGATGCTCTTGGATAAGATAGTTCTTATCTATCCCCACACCTGGGGTTTCTGCACCACGGTTCGGTTCTTCGAGCTCAGGTGTTGATCATTAATGCATGCGGGGGTGGGGGTGGGGGTGGTGGTTAATGAAGGCTCTTTATTTTCTCTCTTTCCTCAATGGTCTCCATTGAGCTTAGCTGTCCACCGCTGCCACGCAAGTCACTGCGAACTGGGGTCAGGCTGATAAATATCTCTCTTACTGAAGAGGTTTAGGTGGATGTTGAAAAGGTTAACTGAAGTAAGTGCTGGAAACCAACCTGTCCCAATGCTGGGGACCCCCAGGGGTCACCTCTTCAGTCTGGCCTGAGGCCATTCTGACATGAGCAGCTCCTTGGCGGAACTAGAATCATACTAGCTTCTATTATTTGATAATATCCAAAGATTCATCCCTGTTCTCTGAGTTAGGAGACAGATCCTAACTAAAAATTAAATTCTATTTATAGAACTGACAGAAAAATCAAACTCGGCACTTAAAAGTAGAAGACAAGAGGGGGGTGAGGGAGGAAGCATGGACAGATTTTAATAGTTGTCACTGTTAAGGGGATCACAGTTGGACACCTTCCCCACAGTGCCTGCTGCGTCACCGTCTTCGCCCCAGCTCCCTCCAGGCAGATCTGGAGACAAGGGTTTGGGGACTGGTAGTTTATTTGGGGTCTGGCCCCCAGAAGTCCCGAGAGAAAGATGGGAAAGTCACACAGGGAAAGGAGGGGAGTGAATGGAGTAGGGACATGACCTGATCCATACTCTGAAAAGACTGGCCCAGCTGCTCCACGCTCCAGGATGGCCAAGTGTGGTCCAAACACGCATGGAGCCAGGCCATGGAGGGGGTGCTGCTGACCATGCGGGGCACACAGCCCAGCCCCTACCTGTTCCTCTATCAGCTCTGAGTGTGGGGGCCAAAGCTGGGGCTGGACCAAGCCTCTAAGTACCAAGGCCAGCAGCACTCCTCTGCGCGTCCTCAGGCCCTCCACCTAAGCTGAGCAGCCCAATATCCCTGGCTGGAAGCCAAGAACATGACCACAGTCTCAGGCTTGATGAGTATCTTCCCAGCCCTGACTTCCAAACTGCTTCACTAAATTCAAATCCCCACATGTACACGTGGTGCTATTAGCATTTTCGTTATTCGTCAAAGCATCTCACAGGCCGAGATGTGAACACGGTCTACTCCAAAGAATGCAACACGTCTGAAACACAGCTGCCCCACCCTCCCTGCAAAGCCTCACGCCTCTCATTTTTGTGAAGGAGAACAATGCATAGTTCTAGAAAAACCTCCTTTTCCAAAGCTCCTGCTCCCACTTTTGTTACCTCCATTTCCTTGGCTTATCGCTGCAGTCATTAATTGGAGATCCGCAGGGCCCATCTCCTGGGGCCGGTGGCCTCCTGCGGTGATTAACTGAAACCGATGGAGCAGACTGGTTTTCCAGAAAGAACTACTCTGCAGGATCTTGATCAGTTTTTAGCCCTGACAAGGGCTCTCCCTTGGAACCCAGTTCCTGGGTACCCCTTCTGGGTACAAAAATACGCCAAGTTGCTTGCATGATCATGACAAGTTACCATTTAAAATAAACTAGCAATACTTGCTCTCTAAGTGAGTTCTCTGATGTGGTGCATTCTGAGAGACACAGGTTCTCCCAGAAATGAAGACTGACACAGGCTACTATTTTGGTCGCCCTAAGTGCTGTGTCCGGGGCTGGTTGTCAGAGTAAAACATTGCCAAGTGTGTGTGTTATTTGAATTACACCCGCTTCGTTCCAAAGAAAAAGAGACTGGCTTTTACATTTCTGTGTGCTCAGGGAGCCCTAGTTATATAGTGGTTGGGTCGAGAGCTACAGGCCAGCTGTTCAAATCCACCAGCCACTCCTCTGTAGAAACACCCAGCTTTCTAATCCTAGAAAGAGTTACAGTCTTGGAAATACACAGTGCCAGTTCTACCCTGTTTTATAGGGTTGTTAAGATTCAGAATCAACTTGGCAGCGAGTTTTTTGTTGGGCGTGTGTGTTAAGTGCCCATCCTCAACCAGAAACTCTTCTAGTGAGTTGCATGAGATACTACAAAGCATGCATCCAGTTGCCTATTATATAACAGAAATAAATAAGCAACATGCCTTCTCCATCATCCAGTTCCAGCAGAGTGGTTTTAACTTCCCACATTAAGAGCAGGCTAAATCCAAGTTTCAGTAAAAGCACAACAAGCAAAAATCGATTAGTGATTCCAACAAGAGGCAAAGCAAGCAGTTCAGCATATTGTGACATTTCACGGCAAATGCACTATGGCACTGTCCCTTGGCAGTGCCTGCTCCTGTAGCAGTGTCAAGTCCCAGTGCCCCGTGGTGCTTGCCAGGCCACTGCTCTACACTCCACACACCCCTCCTGGCAGTCCCCCTTCCCCAAGGAGCTAAGGGTCTGGAGCCCTGCCCTGTACATAGGTCTTTTCTTGATCCACAGAGCTCAGAGAATTCAGAATTAGCCAGCGACTCATGTTGTGAGCTATGCACTTGCAACACACTGTCCTTCCTTACCTGTTGGGAAAACAGGGGTCTCTGTCTGATGAGAAAGCCACCTTGAGGCATCTCTAGTCTATTGGCACATGTGGCCCACACCCAGGACACCAGGAACGAGAACCTCTGCTCCATGTACATCAGAGATGACAGGTCCTTCTCCTTACCACTGGTTGCATTTAAGAAGGTACAGAATCCTCATTCCTGTGCTCGGTTGATTATACCATTCTCTGAATAGAGGACCCGGGGCCTTTATCTTTGTTGCCCCACAGTGACATGACTCAGCTCTAGGTTTCTTGTCTTCACCTCCCAAGAGGCAGAGGGAAGCCATCTCAGAGCTGTCTCACCTCTGCTAGCAATGGATTCTGGGTGCATGGCTCTCATTCCATCCCAGTTAACTGGGTGATAGCTTGTAAGTTATTATTGAGAGAACAAAAGTTGTGATCTGTATGTCAGATCGACCAAGGATGTGAGGTATGACCACCACTTAGTGGCTACTTTCCCAAGGCACTCAGTTCTCCTGACGAATCCTAGAGAAGGGCTTCCAAATCTAAAAGTCAAGAGAATCAGCCCAAGGGCAAGCCAGGTATTCGGCAGCCATTCAGGTCAAACAATGCTAAATCAAAAGCCAAATGAAAAGTATAGGACTTCCGGGAAGATGGTGTTGGAGTGACACATACCAGAGGGACTCCACAGAATCCAGCCAAGGAGATTTGCTTAGAGGGAACATTAACACAACTGGAACGCAGGAGGAGAATCATAAAGATAAGTAGGCACAGACCCATGGGGTTTTGAGGGGCTTGGAGCTTTTGGCTTACCTCAGTGGAAGCCGGCTGGGGCTTGACCTTGGCCTCACCACTGTCTCTGTCGGAGCCAGGACCATTTGGAGCCCTTAGGGGGATTTGGTCTCAACACAGCC